ACCCTGGGATCATGACCTGAGCCGAAGGCAGACACTTAACGACTGAGCCACCCAGGCGCCCCTTGATCAGAGATTCTGAAGCCAAAAAGGCATCATACTTCTTGGCCAGCTTCTTGACTAATTTCTTATTCTTGTTGAGTTTCTTCAGCACCTCAATGTCCATGTGGGGAATATCCACTGCCTTGGCCTCATCACAGTGCTGCTGATACCCCAAAACACATATAGAGAACTTGGGGCGGGGACTGGACTTAAGCCTGACGGTGCCCGAGAAGCGTTTGTCCTTCTGAGGGTCATAGTTCTTCAGGCTGATCTGCAGCTCCACCATCTCCAAAAACTTCTGGCGCTTGCGCTGGTTCCCGTGCAGGGCTTCCTGCACCGCCTCGTACAGGGTGTCTCGGGAGACTTTGCTGCTCATGGTTCTTCGCGCCGCAGTAACCAGAAAAGAGTGAATGTCAGCCATTTTAAAAAAGGTCGTGGCAATCCTGGTACCGATTCCCTAAAACTAATGTGAGGTTTAAGTGAGCTAATGCCTTGTAGTACCATAGTAAACTGAGAGCACTCAGGCGAGCAAGAAAGGAGAAATCTGAAAATGTCTCCAGATGCACCTCCAGCTGTGCTCTTCAAAAAAACTCAGGTTTTACACTTTCCCAATTTGCAGCTTTTATCTATCTAAGCCTTTGTCCTCCCCACATCCTCTCTGCTTCAACAAATCCTTTCCTCACCACCACCCTCAGGAGTGTTTCTTCCATTTCTCCCTTTCCTACAGGGCTGCGTAATCCACATGGTGCCCAGCAGTGTCCTGCACACACACGTTGCGTCCTAAACAGACTTATAACTAACCCTTGGGGCCAGCACTGGTTGAGCTGGAGTCTGTTTACAACATACTGATGTTCTCTGAGGCACAAATATGCACATACCTATGAACTAGGAGGAACCAGTGGAGCAGGGGTTCTCAACTATGGCACTATTGATATTTTGAACCAATAATTCTGTGTGTCAGAGAATGCTGTCCTGTGCATCGTGAGACATTTAGCAGGATCCCTGGGCTCCATCTTCGGTGATGGAAGCACACTGTCTTCCCGGATGTGACAATCAATTATGTTTCTAGACTTTGCCAAATATTCCTGTGTGTGGGATGGGGGCTAAAATAACCTCCTCCTCTTTTCCCTGCCTCCCCGGCGTTGAGAGCCACTGCTGTAGAGAACGAGAACTATTCCCCAAGTCGTGGCATTAGTTTTCTACTCTAGCAGCAGTCACCACAATGCGGCACATGAAAAACAGACACGGGAACTCTTTAGCTACGTTTGTGCAAGGCACCTTCGAGATTCTGTCACTACTAGGTATGGCCGACAGGGTAAGTCACAGACTCAAAGCTCTAATGGTACCAAAGGTTCAGAACTGCTGTAAGAATTAAATGAACTAACGCATACACATGCGTTAGCCCAGTGCCTGGCCACGAGTTTAAGTATTCACCACCTGTGAGCTCTTATCAGTAAGTATATACAGCTGAGTGCAAGTGCTGGGCAAGACAGCGCAGGCCTGGGCTCTCCCCTCACCCATTCTTTCCATGTTCCTCCCACCCAAATCCCGCAGGAGGAGGTAAGATAATTCAATACTAAACAGCACCAGGGTCCCTGGAGCTGATAGCGTATGAAGCGGGATAAGAGAACAGAAGAAAAAAAGGAGAATCCAAGAACAGCAGGAAAAGTGTGGCGTCCTGCAGCAGAGGCAAAGGGGTGCACACATTTTCCACTAAACAGGAAGCGGCAGAAGGATGCCTGGTTCATTCCAAAATGGGTTTCTTATAAGGAAGCAGCATCCTGAAAGAGGATGAAGGGTACAAGGGATTTCACATCTTCTATCCATGAAAGTTCCACCCACGTAATTCTCCCTTTCCAAATATCATAGGAGTTCCCTGAGTTAGAAATACCCCCATAGCTGCAAATACCTGCACTGTCTCTCCTTAATTCCCCATGTGGTAACCAAGTTGTGGGGAAAAGGAACTTCCCAGTGCAGGGCATTCGGAAATACTGACCTCATGTTTCTTCACCCTGAGAGGAATTTTACACATACTATGTTTCCCTGCTCTCATCTCGTTCCCTTTTCCTGTTTCATACACTTCAGTTAAAAGACACACAGACACACACACACAGTCATGTTCCATTTTCTCCATCCTTCTTTTCCCCATTAGTAAACCAAGGCGCACTGATCATACAGGTAAGTGTATGAAGGACAAAGCTGACATTTATGTGAAAGTCTAGAGTAGATGGGTAGAGGCTGTGTGCCAGCTCTGTAACCATGATAAGTCAATCACTGAGAGTCAGTCACTTAATCTCCATGAGCCTCAGTTTCTTCATCTGTACAATGGGAGGGATAACCCCTGCCTAATAGATTCAATGACATCAAATATGCAAATTCTTGGTTCAGGGCTCAAAACGTTAAGAGAATGCACAATAAAGGACTGCTATTATTATATACCAAAATTATACACGTCTGTGTCCTTCAGAGTACCCAAAGTTTACCAACAGAAATACTCCCAAGAGAATTCATTTTTTCCACCTTTTCTTCCTATTAAACCTAAAGGTCCCTTACAGCACTCATTCCTCCCACCAAAAGAACCAACTTAAGCAGAAGATAAGCTGTCTTATTCAAGCATGGTTCGTCTGCTTTGTTTAATCAATTGCACTGTTTTCCATTATTGTACCACATGTTTGACATTTTGGCACCGTAAGTGAAGAAACATTCTGGGTTCAGCCTGGGGCCTAACCTTCGTCACATGATTTTCGTTGCTGCTTCTGTAGAATTTTTTCTGTTTTCCAAACCCATTTCTGGAAGAAAAGCAGTCTGTAAATAGGAAACCATGCATGCTTTCTTTTTAAATTCCCAACATCTAGAAATAACATCTACTCTTACCAGCAATTCAACTATGAAAACATAGTGAAAGAAATGATTTTTGAATTAAATAAGAAAGGTTTCTCTCAAAAAAAAGTGGCTCTTGCTGTCCTAAAGTTTGGGCACAATTTTTAAAGGAATTCTATAAAAATATAAGATCTGAATTTTCTATTCCTGATAATCTAAACAATTAAAGTTTATAAAGTTAAAGACAATTGCCAAAAATCTGTTTATTTCCTTGTCAATTTTAAAATGAGATCGCAAAAACAAGAAATGCAATTTTTCATTGGCTAATTTTTTTTATTTTCTTCTCAAGATTTTATTTATTTGACAGAGAGAGACACAGAGAAAGGGGGAACACAAGCAGGGAAAGTGGGAGAGGGAGAAGCAGGCTTCCCGCCGAGCAGGGAGTCCGATGCGGGGCTCGATCTCAGGACCCTGGGATCATGACCCGAGCCAAAGGCAGACGCTTAGGGACTGAGCCACCCAGGCGCCCTCCTTGGCTAATTTTAAACTAATATTTAAAAGCACAATGAAGGGCGCCTGGGTAGCTCAGTCAGTTAAGCGGCTGCCTTCGGCTCAGGTCATGATCCCAGGGTACTGGGATAGAGCCCCACATCGGGCTCCCTGCTCGGCGGAGAGCCTGCTTCTCCCTCTCCCTCTGTCTGCCGCTCTGCCTACTTGTGCTCTCTCTCTCTCTGTTAAATAAATAAAAATCTTAAAAAAATAAAATAAAAAAATAAAAGCACAATGAGAGGGCGCCTGGGTGGCTCAGTTGGTTGGGCGGCTGCCTTCGGCTCAGGTCATGATCCTGGAGTCCCGGGATCGAGTCCCGCATCGGGCTCCCTGCTCGGCGGGGAGTCTGCTTCTCCCTCTGACCCTCCCCCCTCTCATGTGCTCTCTCTCAAATAAATAAATAAAACCTTTAAAAAAAAAAAAAGCACAATGAGAAATAACCATTTCAGTCTGCATTAGGATTCCAACTTCTATTGAGGCAACATTTGTGTTCTGCGTGAGCATGCGTGTATACGTACCTGTGTGTATGAATAGAAAAGAAAAAATCCTAGGTCTTCAATATTTAGTTTGTGAGCTATACTAGTTCTTCTTCAACTATGACAGTCTTATAAATAAACACGAATGAGTGAAGCTCATAAATATGGTATTCAGAGTAGTTTCCACACCCAGGATCATGAACAGACCGTAACACCTATCTGTGGCAGTGTGTTAATATCTGTCACTACCTTGGCTCCTAGCACAAGGTATAAAATAACACCTTGCTTTAGTCAATATTAACTAGGCTGCTTTTGGCTTTTAAAAATGTATTTTTTAGCATGGCATTTCTAAGCATAAAAGAACTGAAAGTCTTATGTTCCTCTTCAAATTTAAGACAAAATGACAATCTTAAAAAAAAAAATCACAACAGCCTAAAGTAACCCCCACCTCATCTTCTCCCCTATACACTGAATAAATCACCTATCAAACATATATCAAGAATGATTCAGGGCGCCTGGGTGGCTCAGTCGTTAAGCGTCTGCCTTCGGCTCAGGTCATGATCCCGGGGTCCTGGGACCGAGTCCCACGTCAGGCTCCCTGTTCAGCGAGGAGCCTGCTTCTCCCTCTCCCTCTGTTGCTCCCCCTGCTTGTGCTGTCTCTCTGTCAAATAAATAAATAAAATCTTAAAAAAAAAAAATAATGATTCAAAATGCGGTAACATTTAATGTATAAAGAACAAAAAGAAAATGGTCAAGTTGTTGAAAATTATGGAAGATGTTTCTCTTTCATTTTAATTAGTTAACATTAATAAACTGTTGCTTTTGTTTTACTGAACTACAGAATATTTTAAAGAGTAGAAATTGTATCTATTATGGTCAAGGAAAAGTGAATGAAAAAAAGTCTGCTCGGAAGTGAGGTCCTCTCAGGGCTCCTGCCTAGCTCAGTCAGTGGAGCATGTAACTCTTCATCTCAGGTTGTTGAGTTCGAGCCCCACGCTGGGTGTAGAGATTACTTAAAAATAAAATCTCAAAAAAAAAAAAGAGAGAGAGAGAGAAAGTTAAAAAAGAAAGGGAGATCTTCTCTACAGCAATAGAGACTACAAAATCCTCCTGCCTGAAGTCCAATGTAAGTCACCTACAAAAATATGATTCCACTCCAGAGAGTTAGATTAACAATGCATTCATTTGGGACAAAAACAAATGTATATTTTCACTTCCTCCAGGAGAAACTGAGGCAAATAACATTTCCCAAATGTCCCCAAGATAAACAAGTGGTGTCTGGCTAGTGATTCAGGAGTCCCTGGCATTCAAACCTACTCTTTTCCATTCCATGAAAATTTGCAAAGAACACAGTAATCCTGTCTAAAACTTTAATACTTCTGAAAAACAGGATGAGGTTTTTATAGGAAGTTATCCCATTAAAAGGCCACTAGCTTTTTTTTTTTTTAACAAAATACTCAAGTTGATCTTGAAAAATATCCATGAAAATTCCATAAGCACGAGTAAAGGAGGGAGATTGGCTCTATCACATGTTAACACACGTTATAAAGGTGCAG